TGAACACTGACCAATTCTTTTTGATACATTGAGTGTATACTCATTCCATCATGACAAACAGAGAAAAGATTGAAGTTTTCAAGGATTTCATTTTACTTCGATCCACAATCAATGCCCACGGAAGCAGCAGTCAGGAAATTAAATGATGTACTGCACTGGGTAAATCTGCTGCAAAAGATCTCTTTAAAATCATAAAAAGCAAAGAGGTCACTTTGATGATCAGTTGTGTCTGATCCAAACCATGGTATTACCAGTCACCTCATATGCATGTGAAAGCTGGACAAAGAAAAAGGAAACCAAATAAGAATTGACACATTTGAATTATGGTGCTGGTAAAGAACAATGAATACTCATATACCATGGACAGCCAAAAGAATGAACCAATCTGTTTTGGAGGAAATAGAGCCAGAATGTTCCTTAGAAGCAAGAATGGCCAAGACTTCTCATTTACTTTGGACATGTTATGAGGAAGGACCAATCCTGTGCAAAGTACATCATGCTTGGTAAAGTAGAGGAGACAGAATGACTCGGTGGCTGCAATAATTGATTGGCTTAAGCATATCTACTATGGTGAAGATGGTGTAAAACTAGGGAATGTTTAGTTCTGTTACACAGAGTTGCTGAGTCAGAGCCAACTCAAGGCACCTAACAACAATTTGCCTAGATAATATATGCTTGTCTTAGTTATCTAGTGCTGCTAAAGCAGAAATACCACAAATGGGTGGCTTTAATGAACAGGAATTTACATTCTTACAGTTTACGAGGCCAGAAGTCCAAATTCAGGGCACTGCCTCTCCAGGAAGGTGTTTTCTCTGTGGGCTCTGGGGGAAGGTCCTTGTTTCCTTTCAACTTCTAGTCCTTGGTTCACTTGTGATCTTCATGTGGCGTGACATCTATCTTCTTCTGTCTGTGCTTGCTTTCTTCCATGCCTAATCTGTTCCTTTTTTATCTCAAATGTGATTAAATCCAAGATACCCTACATCAGTATGGAATCATTAACATAACAAAGAAAATCCTGTTCCCAAATGAGATCATATCCACATGTATAGAGATTAGGATACCACCACACATTTTAGAGGGGACACACAATTCAATCCATCTTCCAAAACTGGCCACATTCAATTTAAAACTGTTAATATGACTGTATTCCTACTATTGAGCTCATGAAAGACAGGAACTGTATTTTACTCAGCTTTCTATTTTGGATATTGGCAGAATGCCTGGCAAACAACACTCAAAGAAGGAAAAGAGGGCAGGAAGTCACTGATGTCTCCTTTACCTTTATTCCCTAAATAGGGATAATATGTCATAATAATTTATTTAAATATCCCTTCACTGCATGCTCAACTGCTATAAAGAATCTTATATCTGGATAATTACAATGGGATCCCAATTATTCTGTCTCCATTCTTACCTCACAGACCTTGAATAAAGTTATTAGAATAATACTTTAAATTGGAAGACTGTTCATATCAAATGTCTGCTTAAAATTCTTCCATAGCTCCACAACTGCTTATAGAACAAATTTCTTGCTTTAAACTTTTCTTTAGAGTGATTTTTTTTTCCCCATTAAATTTGGGAAACATATAAAAATGTAAGTAAGAAAATAAAATTACTTATTTATTTACCATTCACAGATATCTTAGTTAATAATTTATTGTTTCTTCCAATATCTTCCACATGCATGTTGGAGCAGGATGTGTGTGTGTGTACAAATATCTATATTTTAGTGGGTGCCACGTTAAATGTCAAATGAATCAAGGTTTTTGTTCTTTACAATAACTAATTCAACAAGTTCAAATTAGTATCAAATTCATATTTTCTCTGTTCCCCCTATGACTTTGTATTTTGTTACTTACTTTCTCCTATTTTATTATACTAGCTAGTATTTCCAGAAAAATGATGAACAGCAGTGGTGAGGGTAGAGAGATTCTTGATCTTGTTCCAGGCTTAAATGTCAGTGTCTTGGATGTTTTGCCATCAGGAAAGATGCTCCCTATTAATTTCTCATATTATTCTTTATCAACAATATGTGTCTAGCTTTCTGAGCATTTTCATTATCAAGAAAAAGAAAACTCCCTTTTTTCAGATGTCATTTCTATACCAAATTGATCATGTAGTTTTCTCTTTTCCTCTATTCATGTATTCATTTAAAAATATTTACTGAAGTAGATCCACAATAAGATAAATTTAATTTTGTTGTTGTTGTTATGTGCCGTCCAGTCCACCTGACTCATAGTGACCCCTCCTTGGGTTTCCGAGGCGGTATCACTACAGAAGTAGGTTGCCTGACCTTCCTTCCAAGGAGTGGCTGGTGGATTTGAACTGCTAGCCTTCTGGTTAGCCATCAAGTACCTTAGGCACTATGCTACCAGAGCTCCTAAATTTAAACTTATTAATGAATATAACTTATCTGGCCTCCATGATTTAGACTGTATCTCTTCAGATCATATTTTACACATTTAACCATTGTCCAGAAATGTGCCAGGCTTTCTTGGTTCCAGGAGTCCCTAGGTAGTGCAAATGGTTAACGTTCCTAGCTATGAACCAACAAGTTGGCAATTCAAGTCCACCCAGAGACACCTCAGTGGGAAATCCTGGCTGTCTACTTCAGAAAATCAGCCACTGAAAACCCTATGGCACACACAGTTCTACTCTGACACACATGGGAGTGCTTTGAGTTGGGGTCGACTTGATGGCAACTGGTTTTTGGTTTTCTCAGTCACTATCAGCTTTGTAGCCTTTGACAATGGAATGTCTTTTTCTATTCTTGGTCTTCCTGGTAAATTCTCCATCATCCTTCAAGACTTAGCGAGGAAATCTCCTCTATTAAATTTTCTTCTCTATTATCTCCCCCCTTTCTCCATCCCTACTCCACAGAATTAGCCACATCTCACTGTGTTTTTGGCATCTAGATTGTGATTATTTACTGATTCTTTCTTCACAATGATAGTTTAATTCTTCATTCTCTGGTTGATAGACATCTCGGTTAGTTCTAGTTTTGGCTATTATTTGGCTGCTATGAACATTTGTGTTCAAGTCTTTGTGTGCATGTTTTCATTTCTCCTGGGTACACAAGGAGTGTAACTGCTGGCCACAGCATATCGATACATCAGCTTTAGCAAATATTACCAAACATTTTCCAAAGTGTTTATACTTCACCAGCTATGTATGAAGTATATGATCCAAACCCCCTTCCCCCCTTTCCTAAACTAAGAAGTCTTTTTCTTTTTTCTTAATTCACAAAAGTTCTTTATACATTCTGGACACAGATTTTGTTATATATATATATATATATGTATCTACACATGCACTTTAGTATCTTAAAAATCAAGTAATCAACTATCATTCCTGGTCTGGTGGCTTGCCTTTTTACTCTCTTAAAGGTGTCTTTGGAAAAAGCAAAAGTTCAAATGAAGTCCAAGTTCTCAACTTTATAAAAAGTTAAATGATCAAAAAACTTGTTTATGGGATGGGAGGGGAGGGGAAGGAATGCTGTTAGATAGAAAGAGATAAGTACTGATTTGGGTGAAGAGAAGGGCAATGTACCAAATGTGAGTGACCAATATGGCAGCATTAAAGATGAGAAAGACAGAGAGGTACATGGGAGGTACAGACAAATATGAACCCTTTTGCACATACAGTACTGCATTGTCAGTGAAGGCAAACATGGGTATATGGATGGATAGATGGGTGGACAGGCTGAACGATTAGGTATGTCTATGAAATGGGGAGTGTATCCAAGAACATATATAGGGTTGGCAGACAATGGTCCTATAAGTTTATGTGAATGATCAGAATTCCCAGGTGTATAGTAGAGCTGACAAGGGGCAAGGTTGTGGTCACGGCTTGGTCACAGCCAGCTACCCAGAGGGACCGAGTAGTTGAACCTGCGGGCTTGGGACCATAGTCGCAGGGGACATCAAGCTCAATTGGCATAATATACTATACAAAACACTGTTCCACCTCCTACTTTGGCGAGTAGAGACTGGGATCTTAAAAGCTAACAAGCTGTCATCTAGATGCAATGATGGGTCTCTCCTCGTCCAGAGCAAAGAAGAATGAAGAAAACCAAAATTCATGGAAACAATTAGTCCTAGCGACTGGTACACCATCTGATCTGCAGCCTACACAACTATGAGACCAGAAGAACTAGATGGTGGCCGGCAACCAATGTCATCCACTTGGAAGGGGATCTATGTAGGAGATCCTTGATAGAGAGGGAGAACAATGTGGAACAAAACTCAAAATCATTTGGGGGGAAAAAAAAAGCTGGTGACCAGGTTTGCTGGTCTGATAGAGCCTGGTGGAACCACTGAGACTATGGCCCCTAGCTGCCCTTCAGGTCTGGAATTGAACCCACACCTGTGGTTTCCAGCCAAACAAAATATAGGCATATGAGTTAAACATTTACCTCAAGTAGATACACTCCTTGGAGAGAACAATCATGGGAGAAAGAAGGGCTGCTTTTGCACAGGGAGACAACTCAGGGGACAGGAGTTATGCAGGGATGGACACTGGGAAGAGGTAACTATGGGGAGGAAGTGGGAGGGGAGCTGTTGCATTGTGGTAAACTGTGGTCAATGACATGAGACAAAGTATATGTACACTGCTATACAGAAAGTGAATTTGCTCTGTAAATCTTCACCCAAATCACAATTAAAAAAAAAAAAATTTGTTTATTAGCATTCATTAACAAATATCTTAGATCATCAAAAATCTGGTCCTTTAATAATTCTGACAAATAATCTTTCTTACTATTCAAATTTGTAATTTTATATACAAACTTAACTCTTCATGAAATAGAGTTCTGCTTCTGAATTAAGTATATATTCTTTCAGGATAAAATGCATGCAGCAAATTTTTTGATCACAGTTATTAACATGTGATCAGTACTATTTTATTCAAACACACTTTGTATTCACATCAGTGTTTTCAATACTGCCTTACTATCACTAATAATTACCTTGTAGATGTCACGAGTTGTTCCAAATACATACCTCTTGTACAAGATCTTGTGCATTGGAGATAAGAGGAAATGGAGGACTGGCCTTGTTCATATGTACTGTGACAGCGTTGTGTATCTTAAATGCATTCTGGAAATCTTTATTTTGTACAAGTTGTAAAAGCAGTGAAATATCCTCCTGGCTCTGAGAATCTACCAAAGTATGTTGGATGTGTTTAAGTGAAGAAAACAAGTCTTCCACTTCTAGTAGGAGAAGGAAAAGTTATCCAAAAATTAATCTTTTCAGTCTTAATTGAACATGTGTTTTAAAATAAAACTTCTTGAATTAGTAACAATTTAAATTAAAAAAAAAATGCATCTTTGTGAGTGCCAAATCATTGTCATTTCACTGGATTTTAAGTAAAATTCCTTAAAAATTATACAACAGAATAACTTACATTTTTAAAAGTATTTTAATTATAAAACTAATGCATGTCACTGTGTGGGGAGGGAGAGAAGGTGATATGGAAAGTTAAAATCACCAACAATCCCATCACCTAGAAACAACTTTTTAAAAAACGTCTCAGGGTATTTCCTTTTTAATTCAACAGTGTATATCGTGATTATTTACTACATACCAGAGTCTTTTAAAACATAATTTATAATGGCTACATGATATTCTATTACATGACCACACCATAATTTATGTAGCCATTACACTAAAGTTGGGCATTTAGGGTACTTTCAATATTTTGCTAAGTAATAATTCTCATTTTCATACATAATCGTCATCTGTGCTTATAAGTTTGAGATTCTGATGTTTCCTTAAAATAATTCTAAGAAACATTTTTAAGTAAAAGAACCTGACATTTTTAAAGCCAAATGGTGTTCTAGGGAGGTTTTACTAATTTACATTCCAGTAGTGATATTTTCACCAATATTAAATATCATCATTTTAAAAATATCTATTTTCTTTGATTAATAGGGAAGGTCAAGTTTATTCACATTTACCAAGCACTTCTTCTGTGCTCCACACATTCTTGGAATACATGAGTAGCCTTAAATTGTATGGAAAACTGTGTGTGTGTGTGTGTGTGTGTGTGTGTGTATGACTGCCTATGAGAGTGCACAGACAAGCATGCATTTTTCTTGGAGAGGGTCCATACCCAGTTACTCAGTCTCATTATCCCTCAATGGTTAAGAACCACTGGTTATCTATGCCCCCCCCAACATGTGTGTGTGTATGCTTTCCCATAACTGTTGCAAGTATTTTTCTAGTATTATCATTTGCCCATTACTTGTATGTGTGGTAGCTTTTACTGCAGACGTTTTCAACTCTTACATGTTAAAAATGATCCACCAACAGTGACTTCTTTCACCAGCTTTATGATTATAAACTCTTTTCCCCAGGCCATTAAATAACTATTTACTTAAATATTTCTAGCTTAAATATCTTATTTCATAATTAACTTTAATCCACCTGGAATTTATTTTGGGCATAGACTTAGGGTGAAATTTTAACTTCATTTCTTCCTCTGAATGATCAACTGATTATTCTAGCACTATGTACTGAACACCAATTGCTGTCAAGTGGATTCCAACTCTTGGCAACTACAAGTTCTGTTAGCAGCTGAGCTCATTAACCATTTGCACCACCTGGGGACTCATCTACTGAACAGTCCTTCCTTTTTCACTCATATATGCTGCTACCAAATTCTTACACATGAGGGTCTGCTTCTATTCAACTGGTCTATCTGCCAGAGCAACAAAGTCTTATTATAGTAGCATGATTGTCTTGGTTCACATATTGATATGACAATCAGTTGCTTCATTTTCAAAAAATTCTTGACTAATATGAATTACAGAACCATTTTTTTTTTTTTTCAAGATACTCCTCATTCTTTTTGTTCTCATTCTTTCAAAAAGAAAAGTGCTACTGAGATTCTGAATGAAATTAAACCTACAAATGAGCCTGGGAAAAACATTGGAAATTATCAGTCCTATTGCACCATTAGCATGAAAAAAATCTCTCCATTTGAAAGCCTTTTTTGTTAGTTTTTTTCAAATAGGACCTGCAAAAGAGCTGTTGATTTTACGTATCTAGTATCATATCACTAATTTACTGATTCCTCTTATGGATTCTAATAGTTCTTTAGTTAATTCTTTACATTCCCCTTTCTCCCCAGATGGAAGGAGCTTTAGTCCTCATTATAAAATACAAGCTCACGTAGTATAGACAGTTCTGTCATGTCAGTTCTAAAGTAAGCTCTCTCTCTCTCTTTTTTTTAGTTTTCATTATTTTTACCTTTTGTTATCAGTATCTTTCTAAATCTGGTCTTTATTTGTCTTTGGAGGCTGGAAACCATTACATCCAAAATCAACAAATTACACCCTGAAACACTGTATGTAGCACATGTTACAATATGATGTACCAAAAAAAAGGACAGTTTTGAGTGCAGTTCATAGTAACTCTGTCATACATCGGGAACTACCTGTAGTTAAAAATGTAGCAAATAAAGGATAGTCAGGCAGCCAACAAACACATGAAGAAATATTCAGGATCATTAGCCACTGTTATTGTTGTTGTTATATGCCGTCGAGTCAGACCCAACTCGTGGCGACCCTTCCTTGGGTTTCCCAGGCAGTTATCACTACAGAAGTAGATTGCCCCATCTTTCTTCCAAGGAGTGGCTGGTGGGTTTGAACCTCCAGCCTTCTGGTTAGCAGTCAAGTGCCTTAAGCACTACGCTACTAGAGCTCCACTAGAGAGATGCAAATCAAAACAAAGGGAGACCATCTTGCCACACCACTAGTAGCAAAGTTCAACAGGACAGAAAAGAACAAATGCTGGTGAGGATGTGGAGCAACTGGGACTCTCATACTCTGCTAGAGGGACTGCCAAATGATACAACCACTGTGGAAAGCAGTATGGCAACTCCTTAAAAAGTTGGAATTAGAAATACTACTTGATCCAGCACTCATTACTAAATATATATCCTAAAGAAGTGAGAACCAGGACAAGAACAGATAATGCACACCCATGTTCATTGCAGCACTATTTACAATAGCAAAAAGATGAAAACAACTTAGGTGCCCATCAACAGAAGAATGGATACCCAAACCATGGTATACGCACAAATGGAATACTATGCAACACGAAAGAATTCTGTATTACAGAATCTGCAAAACACCACATAACGTGGATGAACTTGGAGGACGCTGTCATCGTTATGTGCTGTTGAGTCAGACCCGACTCATAGCGACCCCTCCTTGGGTTTCCGAGGCAGTATCACTACAGAAGTAGATTGCTCAAACTTCCTTCTGAGGAGTGGCTGGTGCATTTGAACTACCAGCCTTCTGGTCAGCAGTCAAGTGCCTTAGGCACTGCGCTACCAGAGCTCCCTTGGAGGACACTGTGCTGAATGAAATAAGTCAGTCAAAGAAGGACAAATATAGTAGTAGTTCATTATTATAAAAGCCAAGGAAAGGTTTATATGGAAAGAAACTTTCTATTGTTGGTTACTAGGGGTAGTAGGAGTGGGGAGGGAACACTGCAAAAATGAAAAGAAAATAATAAAAATAAACAAATAAAAGAAAAAAATGCATGGAATGGGAAGATTAGAAAGTCATATCTGTCATTAGAATAACCTAAGTTGTGACTCAGAGTTAAGATAAAACTGGAGAGACAACCAGAATTTAACCATATGCTAATATCCATCTACAAGACTAGATAAGAACATGGAATGACAGATATAACATCAAACTCAAGGAGGTTGATACAGAAGTAACTTGGGTTCTAGCAATAGTTTGATCACTTATTAGTTGTATTATATTATCACTGGGCAACCTACCTCAAGTCTCTGGGCCTTTTTTATAAAATGAGGGGACACAAATTTGAGTTTCTCAAATTTGTGTCTTTTTGCTCAATACAGCAACACAATAACAGAAGCTGACTACTAGTAATTTAGAGGAGTTTACACATTCTACCAAGAAGCTCTGGTGGCACAGTGTCTAAGGCATTTGACTGCTAACCAGAAGGTTGGTGGTTCAAACCCACAGTTGCTCCACAGAAAGAAGACAGGGGAATCTACTTCCAAGATTTACCACCTCAGAAATCTACCTAAATGAACATGTACATTTAGGAGGAATTTCCTAAACATAACATTTCCTCACACAAACCTATGTTTTAATTCACTTTTTGAATGCTACTTTTATATTGCCGTATTTTGCTTCTGATATTTTAACCAAATGTCTTACATTTTAAATATTTTCTGAAGAGTATTTTATTTCATTTCTAACACTGTACAATAGCATATGATAAGTAGGTCCCTGGGGAAGGTTCAGCAAAAGCAGCTGAAAATGTACTTTCTGTGGTTGTAGAGCCTATGTATCTTTCTGAGAAATGTTGTAAAACATCTTCAATAACATTGCACTTGCCTGGGTAACCAAGTAGTATAACAACATTAATATCATGATTTAAGTGGAATGAGAAATAGTTTTCAAAATAACTTATCAGCAGTATTCATGACTAATTTAGCTGGGAAATTTTGTAGATAGCATCCTTAGGAAGGAAAACTGCCCAAAGTACTGTCATCCTTCAGGCTGAAATAAATTTCATTTAAAATGTTTAATGAACAAGTGAAAGAGATTAAGTTACCAGGCACTCTTAGATGAATCTCTAACATTCCATTAAATATGGTAGCTTGACCAAGAAGACCTAAAGCACATGTACCTAAAGCAAGGAATTTTTAAGAGAAAATCTGAGATACTAAGCAACATAGACCCTCATGACAAAATTAGTATTAATTACAAATAAGCTCATTAATTGGAAGGAAGATAAGAACAATGTTGCCTCTGTCCAATAACAGCCTGGTCACATAAACCAAAACCAAACCCACTGCCACTGAGTCGATTCCTACTCCCAGCAACCCCCACTGGGTTTCCAAGGCAGTAAATCATTACAGAAGTAGATTGCCCCATCTTCCTTCCATGGAGTGGCTGGTGGGTTTGAACAGCCCACATTCTGGTTAGCAGTCAAATGCCTTAGGCAATGTGCCACCAGAGCTCCTTAAAGGTCACATAGAAGGGTGTTATTTATCATATTAGTCTTAAAATATCATGATAAATGAAATAACTTCATTATCTTCACTCAGTTCTCTATTAATAAATTCCAAATGGAATTCTAACAATCGGTCTTTTCTTTCACATTAAGTATGATGTCATAATGAATCATAATTTTTGGTAACATCAATCTAGGGATTCTT